AGAAAAACTTACAGTACCTTTTCTTTGACTTTCCTGGCCATATGCAGCCTAAAAAATTTCCACCATTGCTCTTGTCTTTATCTTTGAATTTTTTAATTCTCTTTAAACTTATCAGTTTTACAGTCTTTGGCAGGACCTGCTCTTTTAGAAAAGAAAGTAGTTCTTTGCACTTGTTGACGTCCTCCCTTCGCCCATTGTTAAGGTTTACATGAAGTGTAGCGAGAACCGGCTCGGGTGTCTTGATTAACTGTCGACATGTCTCACGAACTTTCAGGTTAAGCTGCAATCCACTGTTTTCGACTTGATTCGCAACCTGTAAGAAAACAGAGAATACGCTTACCCACCAGCACGTTAGGCATGGTTGGTCTGGGTTTGAGCTCAGGTGGTGTCCCTCTCCACGACCGAAATGGGTACAGACCATCTGTCAGGGGAACTGAATAGAATGCCGAGGGAAAGAGCTGCAAAGTTATTTACTTGCGAAACAGTTTTGAAACAAAATTAGCAATATAGTATAAGAACATCCTAAGAATTAGAGGTGACCATTACATATATTATTATTCGTCTTAAAATAAAATGATAAAATACCAATTTTTTTAAAATGCTCTACGGCTAAGTATTACTATACTCATGACTCATTAACAACCTATAAAAATACCTACAGACCCTGCCTGCCTGCCTCTCACTTTAAGGGTGGCCATTCCAGAGAACAGCATCGCAGGCAACTGGAATGAATCCCAGTAAAATTTAACCTCATGGGTTTTTTTTTTATTCAATATTTTTGTTCGAGATTTTAAAAAGAACAAAAGCTTGGACTCTCTTTTCGTCATGAATGCAAACACGAAATGAAACATAAAAATAAAGAAAATAGAAGTCAGCGCTTGTAAAATCCGATGCTTTTGTTTTCAAAGCTTGTTGTTTGTATCCGCAATAATCCCAAGATAATAAAAATAAAAACCGGTTTTGGCACGGAAATACCTATTGACGTCACTTGCGTTTTTCTCCTCTTTCTAAAAAAAAAATTAAGCACCCCCTGTAGTTGCATCAATAATAATAATAATTTATCATAAATCTTGCACCGAAAACTTCATGTTTTCGACATCGATCACGTGTAAGGAGAAAAAATGAACAGTATTATCTCAGTTTTAATGATTATTGCCACTGGCACTTAATTTATGTCGTGAACTTAGCGTTCCTTTTTATTTTGTTTTTTCTTTTGCCGTTATCATCATTGGCTTGGATAAAATGCAGTTCAACCGAGAGGCAGGGTATGCGTCTGCACCCATGCCAATAAAATAAGATAAGGCTAGCGATTTGTAGTTTCATTTTGGCTTGACAATAGCCTGCTGGAATTAACAGATTTCGGCGAAACTCAAGGGATTATATAACTCTTGCGAAAATCTATTCCCTTTCGCTTAGAAGATTCAACATCTCCTAAGTCTGATCACGGAGCCAAAAAAAATTTCCTTCAGTTTTAAGAAATAAAAACTTTTGGTGAAAAACAGAGTAAGGGGAAGAAATGAAAACGAAATTTTAGCAATACTTTGCCACAGTCGCTAAATGAAAAGTACTTAGATATTATAAGATAAGTGTAAACACTCTATTTAATTTCTCGCGCAAAATCTATAATCAACAATTCTTTTTTCTTGGCTTATGTCAAGACTTGAAATGAATTTAAAAAAATTATCAACAGCAACAAACGATATCAGCAACAGTGATAGAGCATCCGAAATACTCATCGGAAGGTCGAAGGTTCGAGTCTTACTGGAAACACTCGGAGTTTTTTTCTCTGAGTATGCCTGTGGCATTTATTGAATACACCATCTTTCACCATTCACAATTTGTTTATAAGTTAAGTTTGGCGGCTACCCGATTTAAAAAAAAAAAAAAAAAAAAAAAAAAAAAAAGATTACAAGAGGTGCTAAAATAGAGGAAGGTTTGTTTTGACTTCTCAGAGACCGGAAGCAGAGAAAAAAAAATACCGCAGAAATAAAACTCATCCATACATGGAGAAGTAAGAAGAAAAACATAATCAATTTATTTTGCCTCAAGAAAATGGCTTTAGTCCACTGAGGAGATCTTACAGCTGCCATAATAGCATTCTCAAAGGGAGAAAAATATCTCAGTATTGGGAATCGAATTTTCATAGCGTTCTTAGGTGTGAACCAAATTTTGAAAACCGCAGTATTTCATCAAAATAAAAATCATATTTTTTCTTTGCGCAATTTTCATCAGCAGATCGAAGTATGAAAAAAAAACCTTCGGTATATTGCCTTGATATTCGGCTGAAATATCGCTCGAAAGTTAATCTTCGCGTCTCCTCAAGGTACAATTGACAACATGAATGAATTAAAATATATTTCCTGACAAGGCCGTCGAGACCTCACTCACAATAGTTTTGTACAAACCTCGACTTGAGCATCGCAGCAGAATTTCTTGCCTATGAAGGAAACTGCTAGCATTTCAACTGTCAATATTTTCCTTTTCGCGAGAAGAAAAGTGGATTTCTCTCAGATTTTCCAAGTTGGCGTCGAAAGCGTCTCTCATGAGCTGCAGGTGATCGACGAAACACGTTTACGAATACATTAGCATAAATTATTTATCAATTTCACAAATCTAGAATTTGGAATTGCTTTGCCAATTGGCAGAGAGATTTGTATCAACGTCGTTTTTAAATGCTTATAACAATAAATTTTCCGTGGCTTTTGTCAATAGTAAGATGCAATTTGATGAGAGTTTGTGTAAAATTGAAATTATTTTTCGACGATGAATAATGACTTTAGGAAGACTTAAATTTTACAACAAGCACTCGATGTACCCACCAATGGAGTAAAAAAAAAAAAATGAAAATGAATGAAAAAGCTGAAGCAAAACGAGGAAGCATATAAAAGAAGATTTGAAAGTTGATGATTCAGTTTTTCTCTCTCTCCAATCAAACCGCTCTTATCGATAACAACGACGAAAATGAATAGAACACAAATTAATGAATTTAGTAAACGAAGAAATTATGAAAAAAGAAGAAAATTCCCTACATTATGAAACAATTGACATCCGGCCTTCAACTTGGCGCACGAAACTGTTCGTTAGCCTCAGCCACAGAGTTCCGCGCGGCGCACTCACAATTTTTTTTTTTTTTTACTTTTTTTTCATCTCGCGCGATGGACTTCGCCGATGAGAAAGGACTGCTCGTAGGGACAGAAATATGCCAACCTGGGAAGAATTACAGGTAAGAAAGGATGTAGGCATTAATGACCTTAGAGTAGTTCTTCGTTGGAGGAATGTCTTAGGCCGAGTGGCCACTCGCGTAACGAAAATTTTGTTGTCACGCAACGCTTCGACATCGAGCTCACATGGCGTGACCACGTAGGAGAACTGGGACCCACCATATCCCTTGATCCCTCACTCACCAGGTTATGTAAGCTAAAATGGCGGCGAATATGCGAGTGCGGGTGTCACTCTTCAGTTCTTCTTCTTCATTGCGGTATTTTTTACGATCTAATGCCGTTTTGAGTTTGAATGCAATTCTACCATCCATCTCTATTAAAGAGAAGTCTACAAAAGCTAGCGATGATGAACAGCCACAAACTTTGGTTCCTCAAGAGGTCGAATTCGGCCGGACGGTCCACGTTGGAAATCTTCGACAGAGTACGAAATCCGATTTAATTGATTACTTTTCCAAGTATGGCGAGATCGAGAAGGTAGATTTGATGCTTACGAAGTTCTCTCGTTTGCCCCGAGGATTTGCTTTCGTGACATTTTGTGAAAAGGAAAGTGCGAAGAAAGTTCTCGCCAATAGTCATCCAATCGTTGCTGGAGACAACATTACTGTAAACCCACTAAGGACCGAAAAGAAGCTTCCCAAGCACACAAACAAAGATTTAGTAGTGCTTGTGACCAGTATTTTGAAAACAACGAGTAAAAAAGCGATCGAAAGCCATTTTTCTCAATTCGGGAAAGTCAAAAATGTCATTCTTGCTCAGGAGGGTAAATCGGATGGTGAGTTAGACAAATATTATGTTGCACTGTCGTCGATTTCTGAGGTGAAGAGATCCCTTGAAGAGCCGACGCAGAGAATTGCTGAACAAGATATCGACTCCAAGGTGATGGCATTTTCAGAAGCTGAGCAAGTTTTACAGCGTTCTACAAATCTTTTTGTTCGTTCCTTAGAAGATAATGTATCCGTGTATAGTTTGAGAGAGTACTTTCAAAACTTTGGAGACGTAGAATCTGTGGAAGTTTTTTTAGACAGTGCTAATGTTGGGGGCTCTTTAACTGTGGCATGTGTTCACTTCTCTAAAGAATCTACGCTGGATAAATTTCTGGAGAGGGAAGATCATGTTATAAATGGCATGCGATTTGAAGTTTTAAAACGTAGAAGTGTGCTTCCCTGGACAAGAACTAACCGGCAGAGAATATCAGTGGAGGGCTTGCCCCTGTCAATTGGGAAGCGGGATGTTCAGCAATTTTTCAAAAATGTAATTGAATTAGACATACAAATTGTCTTTTTCAGAAAAGATTCTCTCAATGGAAAAGTTCATTGCATTATAAGATGCATAAACCCCAAGGATGTGACAAGGATTCTGGCCAAAAAATATGCACAATTTCAAGAAGACAAATTACATTTTAATCCCCTTGTGTGGAGCAAGAGTAGACCTGATTGAAAACTTAGCCCTTTAACTCCCAAGATCTGATTGTTAATTCTCCCTTCATACTGTAACATATTTCCTTGTGGATCAGTTACAAGAATTTGCTGTTGGATTAAGACACCAACTTCAACTTGATAAATTTGAGTATTCTTGTTACCTGTTTGCAGGATAATGTATGGATATTATAGGGAGAAGTTACATGTCAGTCACTTCTGGGGAATTAAAGAGTTAAGTAACTGAAAGTAGATATT